TATTGTTAATAACTTCTGTAAAATAAAGACCACAACCTGCAAAATATTGATTTACGATTTACTTTAGGTTTGCATACAATGGGTATAACGTTCTTTTACCGGAAGTACAACCATTTCTGACTTTAGTAATAAACTAATGCGGTTTATAACCAACCTTTAAAAGTGTCACTTATGTTTATTTCTCTCAAGAAATATCTAGAGATCTTTTGAATTTCTTATCACTTAGCTATCATTACCTCTTACTTTTTTTTTAATAAAATGAATTTTGTTTGGATAATAAGTATTATTTAAAAAATATTAAATAACAACAACAAATTTCATTTTAAATTTGCTAAAAATTAAATTTTTATTTAGCCCTCTAGTTCGAAGTAATTTTCATTACGGAGTACTGTGAGAAGGTTGTTTCTAGACTGCATTGCAACAATCGATAGAATGATTCTTTAAATTATCTTAATGCACACCACTCGAAACTTTATTTTCTCCAATCAACCAAACTTTGTTCTTATCTCAAATCAAGTTCCTATGGTGTAACACAATTTGGACAAATAACATGCTAAAATTGCGTAGTAAAATGGGCTCTTCAATTATCACAAGCACTTTGCCTAATTTGTAGAAAATTTTAAGCAAAGTGATTGGATTTTTGGTTGTTTTAATGGCTTATGTTTACAGTAAGAATAAAGTAAACCGCAAACATTCTGAATCTAAGCGTAACTTTTCAGTATTCTAGAACTAGTGGAAAAGACAATTCACCCAAATGTCGGAGAAAACGTCTCTTCATATACCACTGTGAATACACTAGTAAGGTTTACGATGTCACACGAACTCTTTCACATCTGTTAGATACAGTTTCACATTTCTTTTGTATTTGTTTCTGTTGATATTTTTGTGTTTGCTCCAGTTCCGTAGATCCATATTTAAATTTTTTTGAAAATAGTATAATGTTAAACGTTTTTATGTATTTGCAAATAATAATATATCGTACTGTGACAGATTTTATATTAAAATGTTAAATCCATAAACCTATCTAGTTTGGTAATCATATTTATCAGGTTATATTTCAATTTCAATAAAATATTGGAACATAGGAATGGTAAAAATAAGTATGTAGGTAGATTTCACACTTCAATGCATTTTCTCTATAAACTGTTATAAAGCGTTGTAAAAATATCAAATCAAGCGCGAACTATTTATATTCGTATCGATTACAGTAAATGTTACAATCATTACCTGAAAGCAAATTGATTCGAATTAAAGTAAATTAAATATGGGTTTAGCGTCCATTTTTTGAAAAATGTCTATAAAACGTGTATTTTATCTCAGGAACGTAATAGTTTGGTTTTATTCAAAACAATAAAAAACGCCAATATCAGATATTCCAGTTTGCTAACGTTATAAGCATTTTAAACTGAAGTTTAAAAGAATATTTTTGCTAAAGATAGGGTAAAAAACTAAACTGGTAGGATCATTATAAAAATATTAAATTTCTATATGAATGCTGTATGAGCATGACGTCCTTTGGGAGACATGTTGGATATAAAGTAAGTTAACTTTTTAATTCTTTAGAAGCTTGAGTTGAGGCGCACGCCATATATGCTTTAACATAATAACAACATAAATTCGAAATAAAAACATTTATAAAAACAAACCTATACTGAGTATTAATCAGTCGATTCCATCTGCACTTGAGTGTGTTTGTTGTTGCTAAATAAGGTTGTTCTCGACTACTGTTGCATTACTTTAATAAATACTCCAACTAATTTATAGTACTCTAGCGTTCGACACAATTACATAAAAGCCGATAATTCAATAGGCTCGAGCTTTTTCCTTACACAAAATAAACAAAACCTAGCTATTTAATGAGATAATGTAATTATTTGGTAAGTGTGCTTATATTATGCAAAATAAATAAAATTTGGTGGCAGAGTATGTGCTCAAACTTAATTTTATTTCAACATAATCGGGCCGGATCACGTTCCCATCAAAGGAATGCTCCAGAAATTGGAATTTTATGAGATGAGGTCGTTTCGAATATGGGCATCTACTTGCTAGTTTCAAAGCCAAGTTTTGCATTTCGGACACATTAAAAATATTTCAAAATGAGACAAAAAAGAAATATATTATCCGGAAGACAGAAAAATAATACGAAGTAATATTTCAATTTTTTTAATATGTGTAGTCTGATTAATCGCTTTAGATTCTGAAATAGAAACCGCAACAAATATGCAAATAACCTATTTAATGGAACATAAACATGATTTATGGATTCACAACAAAAGGCTCGGATTAAAATGAAATGATTTAAATTAAAAGATTTAAGCAGTGATATATGAACAGTCAGTTGTTCCGCTTTTTACTACATATTCTTAAATTAACACGTACATCTGTGTTGAAGTTGAAGAAGTAAAAATTAGATCTCATTAACTGGGAATATATTAAAACATGTTCCCCATTGTGAAAGGATTCCAGTTCTCCACCAGGTGTAAAATCTTTCAGTTGTTCCACTCATATGTAGAGAAATGTTGTCTTTTAGCTATTTTTAAAATAATTTTAACGAATAAATATAAATGTTCATACGTGTTATGCGTTTTTTTTTCAGATCTATGAAATTTCAATTAGCCTTTCTTCTCCCAAGGCTATCAAGTTTAATTCTTACAGTAAGAAGTAGGTACTTAGTAATTTTTATTATATGGCGTGATAAATTAATATCATTTCTTTAGTTTATAAATGCTGTACCGGACAGCATTTTTGTAGAGAAGTGCAAAGGGTCTACTTAAAAATTGTTTTAGAAAAACAATTAATCATTATTTTTATACCGGTTTTACGATTCTTAGAGAAAATACCGAAAAATGTAAATGTGATGATAAAACAGCGCGTGTTTAACTGGTTGCGTCTTTTTAAATAAAGTCTATAAAACGTGATTGGTTCGCTCCTCCGACGTATATTTGAGCATACGCGTTTTCTTCTTTTCCGCAACGCATAAATAACTCCAACTCAAGTATCGAAATAAGCAAATAAACGACATAAAATAAACCATCATCTCTAATCGCGTCTCGGGAAAGCGGCGTTTTTCTCTTGGATGTGAGGCTTTTACGTATGAATAGCCATCATGAAGTGTAGTGTTCGCTTGTGGAAGATGAATATCGGCAATACATCACCATGTGTAGTGCGGTTGCAGCTAGATTCAATCAGACATCTGATGTCTCCCAGCCGATCTCTTCCCATGCAAATCACACCGCAACAGCCAGATGTCGAGCTTTCTTCTAATACCGTCTCGCCGAAACGTACCTAATTTACAAAAGTCGCGGTTATATCGCAGAATAAACCATTAGTTATTGTGCACAAGATGCTCCAGAGGATGAGGGATGTTATTTGTCACCTCGCGGGAATCTGATTACGAAATTACTTGTTTGAGAAACTCTCTTCGTAATGAACAAACCTGATGGATTGCTCTTCAGTTATATTCAGTGCGGTTGCCTTCGAGCAACTTGCGTGGAAATTGTAGTTTAGCTTTCTCAAGTTGAGGTAATCTGACACGGAACTCCCAAGAGACACTTGTTACAAATCCTTTAATGATAAGTGCGCGAAAACATCTAATTAAGCACGGTTTTTGTTTATGTGCAGTAAATACGCGTTTTGTTAAAATTGGTGGAGGTGCCGGAATAGAACTACCCCGAAGCTCTCGATCATCCGGGGAAAAACTCCGGGATATTTATGCATCGAGCTTTAAGCTGTTATACCAAAATATCGTTTCTGCGTTACATACTTTATATAAATCCAAAGTGTCTCGTACAAGAAACACACTTTCCGGAGTCGGCCTTTCTGTTCTGTGATTTTGAATTATTATGCATTTTTCTCGAAAATATATGTAGTTTCAACCGAGTCTTACAATGGCTGGAATCATAAATCTCAAATATAAAAGCAATGGATATTACTTTTATAAATGGCAAAGAGTGTCAAATTTTACACAAGTCTGTAGAAGGCAAATTAATGTCATCAGTTCGCTACTAAAAGTTTGTAAACGTTCTTCTCAAATATTTACAGGGTATACAAGAAATTTTGGTTTACTAAATGAACTTTTTGTTGCTTTGTAGACAAGTTTGGGAAACAATAGAGAACGATTTGGGGTAGGATCAATATTTAAAGCAATTGTGTTCGTTTATTACTTCATCTTATCAGGAAAACCCATGCACAAATCTCATTAGTTCTAAATTTAAATTGAGAATAATAAGCAATCTCTCGAGGGTGCTGAAATAATGATAATGCTTGCTTTTATGTGATAATATTTCTTATTTATTTATTTTATAGAAAAATGGTTTTTAAAAAATTCATCGCCAGCACAACATTGACTCATCTTTTTCAAATTACAAAATTATTGTTTGTACAATTTCTGTTCGGGTTTCTATTTTTTAATTTAAATAATGTGTAGTTTTTTAGCAGAAAATAATGAATATTGTTTTGGCACTTACAAATGTGATCTATTTTATTTATCCCCTAAAAATTAAATTTCAAAAGATCAATGGAAAGTCAAGAAACATTTATACTCATAAAAAGTTTATATCATCGAAAAAGTGGCTTTATGGTCAATAAATCCCAACTCCATATTGCATATAAAATTTCAACGCATTGCTTGTGAGCTACCTTTAGTGTTATGTGTTAAATTAAGAGTTACCGCTCTACTCTTTTTGAACCAGATAATTCTGTCAAGAGTGACAGCTGTCAATCCACATTTGAAGTTAATTAGATTATAAATTATAATAAACTGATAATGTGAACATGACAATTTATGATAACTAAAGTGTCAAATAAAAAAAAATTGTAAATGCATTTTAAATAGCAATTTCGAGGTGTTGGATAAAGTTTTGTATGACATATGTGTGTTATTAATTATTATAAGAAGTGACATACTTGTACCAAAATAACTGACTTTATGTATTAAAATCCTTAAGTAAAAACATGCGTTTGATTTAATAAGTCGATTAATTTAGATAAACATCACTGTATATAGGATATGTGTTTATTTTGCTTTAATATACTTATGAACTACAAATATTGAATGGTAAATAGAAACTGTGAACAGTTTAATTAAATGTAAATAAATTACGCCACCCTCTAATTTGACTAGCCGAAGAATTTAGTAAAACCTACGTATACATACTTAAGAGAAGCGTTATTTTGGAATATACCAAACTTTAATTCAAAAAATACAAAAATAAAGTTTCAGCAGTTTGGTATCGGCAATTTCCTTCGGTAACAGCTGCGTTTCCATCCTTCCCATCCCCGGAATCCTAATTCCCCATGCATTTTTTTAGCACAGGATGAATCATCCGAAATATCTTCATTGACCAGATCTGCATAACCCCAATTATGAAATCAAGAAATTTAAATAATCTACAATTAATTTACCTTCGCATTTCATGTTGCATTTGCCCCCTGGTGTGTTATAGGTGCACCATTCTTTGCTGCTAATCTGCAAAATTAGAAATCAGGTGTTTAGCATAAAAAACAACGGATGTGGTTGTTTGTAACCCAAAGGATTACGATTTCCGCTCTGTCGAACGTTACCTGAAATAATCCCAGACCTTTGCTTCCGTTCGCTTTGTTGGTCACTTTGGAGGTGTCTTTAGAGCTTTCGCTTTCAATCAAACAAACCCCTAGGAAAACGACAAAAAATTTACATTATTTGCTTAAGCGTAAAATTGTAACCTAATCGTACGTGAGATGAATTTGATTTTTGTCACGTTTTAAATATATTTTCGAGATATCTTCTGAAATAAAATATAGGCAAAGAGGCACATATCAACTTAGATACGTCGCACAGCATAAATTTTCTTTCGAAATTAATTCAGCTCACTTTTTGGAATTTATCGAATACCATTTTTTTTTAATTAATAAATACAAATGTGGTTTGCACTTTTTGTTTATTACTAAACAGTAAACAAAGTTAATAATAATAGCATATAATGGTCAAGGCTGAGTTTTGTCTACTCTCCGCTGTTTTACATGCGCAAATATTTGTATTTTGTATAGCATCTAAAACAATAAAATGCTAAATTTTGCACAACTTACAGTTTCCAACAAAGCTCCTCGGAAACCCTTGCTTCAATAACTCTTGCGTCAGTCCACAGCGTGTGAATACTTTAGTTGAAGATTGTTGAAAACAAAAACTTGCAAATAATAAGAAAACTGTACAATATTTCATTTTTATTTATTGCCAGTCACTTCACATATGTCACGTTTGGTGTATGGTTCATAGCAAGTTACTGAATATAACACTGTTCCTTACTTTTATACTATCGCTTCTTATTTCTCTGTATTGATATTTATCGTAAGAATTTCTTATCTGTTACGTAAAACAAATTGAAGACCGAGCTACTGAATGTATACACAATAAAATTTTATATTTAGTTTGCTTAGTATGTTTGTGGTAGGTGTAAAACCTTGACTTGAAATTAGATGAATGGATTATAATTAATTACGTTTGACAAACCGGGAAACCATAAAGACACTTCATAGCTTAACTGTTGGATATTGAAAATGTTCACGCATTAATATGTTGCTAATTATAACATTGCGGGTTCTTGACAGTCATATAAATTAATTATTTCTTTCCATTTATTTCTAGGTAATTTATCATTTACAGAAACTGAGTTTAAAATTATTCTAATATTTCTGTCATAACTAAATTATAAGTAAGTAATTAATTCTTCAGACGTTAAAATAACACAATTAAAATATGATTGCAATTAAATGTTTCTATACTGGAATTGGACGCAAGAAAAGTTGCTGCCATTTTTTAAAATTGTAACCCATATTACATTGTAATGCGAAATGAAACAAAAAGTTTAGGACTGTATCACTTTATTACATTACCGTCGTAAATAATTAAGTATTAAAATATTAGTTTATTTTCCTTTAATACACTTGAAAAGTACAAATATTGAATTAAATATTAACACAGAATTAAATCATAGTTGCTATTAAGTGTTTGTAAATTGACATTATTAATGTTTGCTTTTTACTGTACAAAAAATAAAAACTATTAATAATTTCTTGCGCAGTAGATACTATGATGGAATAATAAATCTAATCACAATTTCAACAGAGCGCCTCAAAAACGATTTTATGATCGGTGAATATACTTTTCCCCGATTATTTCAAATCATTGAAGCAAATTTTACAAATTTATCGTCTTGATAACACAGAAAATCTTAATTAAAATCATGATCATTCGAGATGATACCAATTTCCGATTAACTTGCAGTTTTTTTTTATACATGATAATTAAGATGATGTGAAACTCATGAGATAACATATTTCTTTGGTTACAATAATTGTACTTATTCTGTAAAGAAAACCAATATTTTAATATCCGCCAAATAATTAATTTGTTGATAAGTAGAGTAAATTCAAGGTTAGTAAGTAATTGTTTAGATTACATATTTTTTATTTTATTGGTGATAAGTAAATCAATACAACGTGATTATAAGTCATCAATAAAATATTTGAAAATATTGCAGTTCCATTTTTAATTATATAAATCATATTTTATCGAACTTCTACGAAATCTTTTTTCACAGGCCTTACGAGAGAAGTGTCATCCCAACATGCAAAATCACAATAACAGTATAGTCTATTTACAGTACAATCTACTTAGTAATTGTTAATTTTCCCGCAAATTACTGCACACATAAATATGTTTTTGAGTGTTTGATATCTTCGAATTCGATGCATTGCAGGAAGGTGATCAGCTGCATCTAGGCCTCGGGTTCAGAGAAGCGGCTCTTTTTTCCTCGCATAATTCAGGCTGGATTTAGCACATGATCACAATTTATAATGTCCCGTCAATGTCTCGACAATTCAGACTTGTTCTATACGATATAACAAAAAGCCAGTTCGCGTCATTTCTTGTCTTCTTATTCACCTCTTTTCGAACAAATATCAAACCTATTAGGCCTCTCCAAAATCTGTCCACCTTTAAATGTGTTTTTGCTTCTTTTGAAAATAAAGCAACGACTTTACTTTAAATGTTTGTACATACTTAATCAAGAAATTAATACCTACGTCCATAAACGAACTTAGGCATACACGCGCTACCTTATTAGGTGTTCCTCTACTTCCACTGAACCGGGGGAGACTCGAATTGCATACATGTGGAAGAAAAGCAATAATGGCCGTTTCATAAATAACGACACTGCGGTTGTTAACGTCGACGAAATTAAACTAATAGTAATGGAGCCTGCTCTAACTTAATTGTATTGGTTGGCCAAAAATGGAAAATTGAGCAGCTATTGTAGTTGTTTTTCAACTAGGATCTAAATACCTGCCAGGGAGAATTTGTAAAAGCGTTTCCTTCACATATGGGCATCGCGAAATTAATATCAGATACAAACTACCAAATAAAGACTGTGATAATTAAAGTCAGTTATTTCTTCAGAAACAACTGGTTTAAGACTCCGTATTGTTTAAGTTCGCAGCAAATCTACCTTATCTCCTTGTTATAACATATGAACATTTTTGCTTGCAACAGAGATACAGTATGATTGCCATAAAAATAACTTTAACGAAGAGTCGTAGTCAAAGAAGAGAAACCAGTCCTCCTGCATAAATGAATCTCTACTAAACAAACAATGAATATTTATCGTCCGTTATTGTATGCTCCATCTACTTTCTTCTGGCAGCTTGCGCCGGAAATACGGAATGTTTGCTTAAACGCATATGGGCTTTGCTTTGCTGAAAACGAACTTGTTTTCACCTAGTTTTTACGATAATTGATAAAAAAGGTCAATATATGCTTGAAAGTACTGAAGCACAAAATTACAACATGATGAACATCTTCCCTTTAGAGAAAAAATAATGATAGAAGAAAGAAAATTGAAGAATATGTATAAAACACTACCACTGCCTCTTCTTTTCCGTAAAAACTGTCTATTTCTTTGCACATTTATCACAAAATTTATAATTACATAGCTAGGTATTTGCATATTTTGATGAACCAAACTGCTCTCTCGATAGATCAAATCCTTTAATTTTATAAAAATAACCCGTGACATTTTGCTAGTAAATAAAAATGTTTTTAAATGTGATATCTAGTAATTGTTGAATTAAAATTGAGACTTTTGGGATAAAGTATTTATATTAGGATTTTTTTTTTCAGTATGTGGTGGCTGCTGCTGTCACTGGTGTGGTGGTGCGGAACTTGTGCCATTCCGTCTCCAGGCCCGGAAGTTTGGAAATGTCCGAAAATTTCAGAGCAGCCTGTAGTAGAATGCAGCTGCGACATGCCTCACACTTTGCGCTGCACTGGCGATAAATCAGCAATGTCAATCATAGGTACTGTTCAACATCAATTGTAATCAATCAAGTAACTTTGTATTATTTCAGCAAAAACACTGCGATTGCACAACGCCGATGATGTCTCTCTTTTGGACTGCACAGTTCAAAATGTGAGCGCCATTTCCGGTCCTTTACTCGAAGGAATTTCCCTGCATGGTTTAGTCATATCTTCTGGGGAAATTAGAGACATTGACGAGTCGGCATTTAAGAGATTAACAGCACCCTTGCAAGCTTTAGGATTGCCCAACAATAAACTAACAACAGTACCAACTCAAGCGCTGAAACCTCTACCGGAACTCGACAGACTGGATTTGTCCAGTAACAAGTTAAAAAGTTTGGAAGCCAACTCTTTCAAAGTAAATGCAGATGTAAATTTTTGTTTATAAAGTTAAGATTTTGTTGTTTCAGGGCTTGAGAAACTTGTCGTTTATTGATTTAAGTGACAACATGTTGACGAAAATAGTGCCAAATACTTTCGACGATCTTCCGCAACTGAAGATATTGAGACTGAGAGGGAATCGCCTCACTATACAAACTATTTCGAAATTGAACCCTCTTCGAACTGTCGAAGAAATTGATTTATCAGGGAATAACTTAGTCGGACCTTTGGGTCCAAAAACTTTTCCTAAAATGGAGAATTTACGAGATATCCAATTGTCGCATAATTCACTCAGTAGTATTAAAATGGGGGCATTGCAAGGCTTAAATAAACTGACTTCACTGTCGTTGCAACACAATCAGATTGACGTTCTTGAAGATCACGCTTTTAGTCATTTGACATCTTTAGTTAGTCTAGTGTTGGCCCACAATAGGATTGTTGCAGTTTCTGGAGCTTCTTTAGCTCATTTAAACAAACTGACAGATTTAGATTTGAGATTTAATTTTCTTCGTGCCTTGACTGCAGACTTAATTTTGCCTCTGAAAAGTCTGAAAAATTTGAAACTTGACGATAATGATATTTCCATGGTGGCAAGCGACGCTTTAAAAGATACCACAATCCTAAAACACTTGACTTTATCTGAAAATCCCCTCAACTGTGACTGCAGTCTTACAGAATTTGCAATTTGGTTGAGTAATTCAAGTTTGCCAACTGAAGATAAAGCGAGTGCTGTCTGCACTACTCCACCTTCTCTCGAAAATGGATTATTAATAGAAGTTCCTTTGGAATATCTTTTGTGTGGAGAAGATGAACAAGAGACTTTAATGGGACCTTTATATCCCCCATACAAAACTAAAATTAACTTAAATTCATTCAAATATGATGGCGAGACAATTAAACTTCAATGGAATATTGAAGATGAAGCTTCTACCTACATTTGTGATGCAATAATTGTATATGAAGAAGACGGCGATAGTGAAGTTCTGGTCGAGTCTAATCCCTTAAAATGCAACTCATCACATCTCCCAAACCCAAAAACATTAAATGTGACAGTACCTACCACCATACAACTGCAACAAGAACACAGATATAGATACTGCGTTGTCCTTTTCGAATCAGGCCAAACCGACGATTCTTCCCTTATTTTGGGATGTTCAGACATTATTCCCTTAATCCGGAATACTGAAATCCAGCCCCAACCTCAACACAATATAAAATACCCCAAAGTTTTAGCTATTCAGGCTAATTTAACCAACTATGGAAGTCTATCAATAAATGTGAAAATCTATCCACAGGTGAAATGTGAACTGAATGTGGCAATTTTAGAACAGAGCTCTTTGTTATCACAAAGAAAAATAAATTGTAGTGATCCTAAGTACGTGTTTGTGGGATTAGATGAAGGACCTTATAGAGTGTGTGCTAATGTTATAAGACCTGGACCAGCTATTGACGCAACTAAATCCAGGTGTGTGACAGTTTTTCGAAAAGAACTTCACGGTTTTACAACTTTAGATATTGTTTTCGTTTCTGTGTTTTTCGTGTTATGTTTTATTGTGATAGCGTTAATATGGGGAGTAAGGAGAGTTTTATTGAAACCTAAAATACAGACTCATCAATGTTTTATGCCGCCTGAAGGTGAAGAGCAACAGCATAATAGATACGTTAAGCTTCAAGCTACTACTAAATTGTAAAAGGCGTCTTGTTGTTCGATTTATTATTGTGATGTAGGTATCTAATGACATTTTAGTGCCATATAAATTAAGATTTTGTTGAGTGCAAATACGTCAATTTTTAAGTAAATAACAATGTAAAATATATTTTTTACAGTCTGTATATATACACTCTTGCATTTATAAAAACATAGATTTTAAATAATACGATTATTAGTGGTTACGTCTGTTATGTTATGCGAACATTGCTTGCTGCTGGATAATTACAATAACTATACTTGTGCATGTGTGAATTATCGATTTTCTAATTTTTAACAAGGTAGTCATTATGAAATTAAACATATCTTGTCTATTATTATCCAAATTTATTTTATTCAAAGAATTAATGGTGCTACAAAATTATTACAATTTTTTTATTTAATGACATGTTTTTACTCTATGTAGGTCTAGTGTAGCTTAATGACACATTTTGTACATAACTAACGTGTGTTAATTGTTATCTTAATAGTGCCGTTTAAACTAATTCGCAGATTTAATATTTAATATAGAGGCAAGTAGGCACGATCTAAATAAAATAAGTTTCTTGTAAATAACTTTGTATTACTAATGCTTGTTTTTATTTTTTGTTATACTTTTATTAAACAAATATTTATGCACTGCCTTGTAAAATAAAGTATTTAAAATATAATGTGTTTTATGTTATTGCAATAAGTATACATGCTAAGTCTTAACTTATATGCATAATTTTAATTTAGGGTACCTATAGGTCATGCCAAATAATAGAGAGTTTTTGAAAACCGTTTAGTTTAACGACACCTTAACGACAAGGTCATTTAATTGTCGTGTGTACATCTACAAGGGTAAAGGCGTATTCCGTCAATTCAAAGACGTTTACGTGAACCTCTTATTTTTTAATTTCTTAGCAACGGCCATTTGTCGTAATGCGTTAAACTTTTGTACGGTTTGCAAAAATTCTCTAATAACTAATAACAAAAAAATTCCAATAAAAGTTTCTTATTTACCGAGGTACCTATACCGTGTTAAAACCATGCTTTTAGACTTTAAAATATTAAATTGCCTATGCTCATATTACCCTGCATTTCCTAAGTTTATGCCTATAAGTTAAGACTCAACCTGTATTTACTTTATTTTAATTTGAAGCTGTTGTGTAACTTTCTAAGTTTTTTTTTTTTGAACACACCCTCAGTGTTTTATGACTTTTTCCTACGACCATATACGAAACTAGATCATAACGCACAATTACATATGCGCGAAAAGTGGCAATATCGTACGAGGTCGAAAACCTGTGCGATTTGTTTTCACACTGTGTGTTAGAAATCTAACGCAAAATTCATACTCATCCACTATAAAAAATAAATCGTTATTCAACGTATTTTTGTATCCATTATAAAAAATAAATCGTTATGAAAAAAAAAATATGTTCGTAAGAAAAAAATTATTTATGGTCGTAGGAAAAAAGTGTAGAAAATTTTCAGGAAAGTGTCTAACGCACTCGCGGTATTGTCTGCACTCGGCTAACGCTTCGTGCGCAACTTTCCCGCTTGTGCGTTATTTATCACTTTCCGCGCTCGTTATGTAATATACTATTATAATCCCGTTCCACATTTTGTGTTGTGTATTTAAACACAATTTCCACTTTTTCCTTGTTTTTTTCCGCATGTATTTGTATCTTATCATTTTGTTTTCCATTTTCCTTACATTGTCTCCTGACAGCAATGATAATAATTTCATTAGTTGATTTGTAACTGATGAAGGTGTTTTGTTAAAAATGTTCTTGTTATCCTCTATTATTTTTTTGTTCAGTGTAATATTTGAATGTTGAACCAATTTTTTTTAACAAAAATTTTTCCGATATTTATTTTTTTCTGAAAAAATGTTGCTTTCTACTTAATATTTTTAGATTTTTCAAAATGCAGAAATAATTACTCAGATGGAGCAACATACAGGAGGTTCCGTCTAAACCCCACATTAAAAGTATTGGGAGTTGGAATAATCGTATTTATTTGAAAATTGGTACATAGCCATAATGCATTAAGTCCTCCTAAATGAAAATATTTTCAAGATGGCGGCACTTCCGGTTATACCGGAAGTCGGTCTCAACTTTCTTATTTTAAATGGAAAGCTATATTTTTTACTGTGTTTTTGGATTAATCGGGTTATTTTAAGGGAGTTTTCATCAGTTTTCCCTATACTTAAATTTAGCCGTTTTTGAAATATTTGGACTTTTTCAATAAAATTTGGATCTGCCACCTTCCACTTTAAAAATCGGGAACTCTGCTGTTTTTTTAAATTTTGAATTCGTTTTTTGGCGTTTGAAAATGAAAGTTTAGATCTTAAATTTTGAAAAAATTAACAAACCATAAAATTTTAAGGTTACTTTTGTAATAATTCAAATAACTATAACTCAATTTTTCCAAATGAAATACCCCAATTTTTATTTTACTAAATGGAAGAGAATTTAATTCTGCATCGATCTGTATTAACATTCCCTACACATAAATTTAATAATTTTCAATTTATGGACTTTTTTTAAGACTACAGAAAATTTGTTACTAGCCACACCCGTTTTCACAAGGTTTGCTATGTATCCACTGGTAAAAATAAAAATGATAGTATCTTAGATCTACATTTTTACGTTAAAACTACCAAAAATGCTCACTGTTGTTTCACTGTATAAATGTCGTGCCTGCATGTGCAATTACTGGACACATATCATTAGTTGATAGCAACACTATCCCTAATGATCAGCCTCCTTGGCCACGTGGAAAATGGTCAATGCCCAATTTTTTTTTTATAATAGTAATAATAAATGCCTTTATTAATTAAATAGAATTAATACACATTGGCATTCTGCTATGGCGAAGTCTAGCTGATGCTACTCCACTTAACCCTAGCAGAAGCAATTACAATAAACTTAATTCCTAAAATAAACATAATATATTCCGTTGAAATTAAAAATAAAATGATAACAAATTAACACCTTTTATACAATTCTAACAAGAAAACAAATAAAAATAACTAAGAATCAAAATCATGCTGATGGTAATAAATAAACCTTAATAAATTTCTTAAAATTGCTTACTGATTTTGATTTAAATGCAGAAGGTACAGAATTATATAATTTGACAGCATTAACGGTAAAAGATCTTGTAAACAAACTAGTTCGGAAACGAGGCATAGACAGAGCATAAGTATGACGTAAGTTAACGTTATGAAAATTACACTTATATAATAGTTTATCACAAAGGTATGGAGGAGAAGTGGTTTTAAGAACAACGTGAACATTAACAAGTAACTGATATTTGGATAACAAATCGAGATTCAACCATTGCAACTCATTTAGCTTAGAGGATATGTGATCATATTTACGCATGGCATGGTGAAACAGAAGAGGCGTTTATGGCATGGCAAGATCAAGACCCGTTATCAATAAAAGTATTCAGTTTTAGTTCTTATATCAACTCTACTGCAGAATGGTACTTCAATTGTTCAAGAAAATCTCCTAGAGAATTAAATATAGAAAATGGCTTAAACATAAGCAATACGTTTAAATGCGGTAATAGTGCGAATAAAATAAATATTTTCTTTAGTTTACATTTTTTTGTAGTAATTATTTTGTACAGTATGCAACGTATATTCACATAAATCAATTTATTCTATTAAAAATTTATATTGTAACATTGTATAACTAAGTATATTATTTAGCATTAGCAATATCCTTGGAGATATTTAAAAGTATACAAGTATTGTTAAATAATTTCCTTTTTTTACTACACCTCTGGTTTTTAAATAAAAAATAATAAACCAAAAAAAACTTAAATTGAACGATTTGATATGTCCAGTATTGAAAAAAATGTCGATTTTGAGCGACTAGAATGCTCCAAAAAACGATATTAATTGATGTGTTTCTTCTTGAAAATATAAGTTGATTTTTGGAGACTTCGTGTTGTTGTATTTGAAAATAAAGATACTACATATCCTTTGATCCTTTACAAACTCTTTACTGTACTCCACTATGTAATTATGTTTCTTCAGATTTGATGTAAGTACAATAAATTAAAAGTTCTGGAAAGTATTTTAATTACAAAATGTCCTCCAACTTCCCGTAATCATCGCTAGATTCCGGTGTATGCAAGTTAAGATAAAGCTCAACGGATGCGTCTGCAACGATAAAACCTCTCTTGTTGTCTACTTGGCAGTTTATTTAAAATGTTTCTTTATTCGATACTAATTCTTGTGGTATCTTCTTATACCGACGCAAGGTTTTATAATACCAATATTACAGGTACTATTTCCTAATTACCTTCCCCAGTTACATAAAAATTTCAGATTTTTCCAAGTGCAAAATTTATTATTCGCGATCTGGAAGCGTCTATAAAGACTTCTTTGAAATAAATGAAGAACCTCAAAATGGCAGTCTTTTAGATTTTCATTTCTCGGTAATGTCTCCCAGTGATGCTCATATTCTTCTAGCACCATCAAGTAATTTGCAAAAAGATGATCCTGTTTATGAAGTAGTGATCGGAGCAGGGGGTAATACGTTTTGCGACATACGTAGAATGCAAAAATCGGGCGTCAAAGCCACAGTCAGGGTTAAGGGGTTGTTGACTGCGTTAGACCCACAATCTTTTTGGATTCATATAAGTAAAGGTAATTTTGTAACTAAATCATGACCAAAAATAAAAATCGGAGCACAGATGGAGTAATTGAAGTGGGAAAAGAAGGCGAAGAACTGGGATTTTTATCATGGATTGATCCAGATCCACTACCTTTAAAAGTTTTCAGTTTTAGTACTTGGCCTGGAATTGAGGCAAAATGGTATTTTGATTGTCCGCATGATAAAAACGGCACCGAAAATTCCAAGGTTAGAAATTTACAATTTTTACCGCTATTAACCCTATTTCCAGATGATTCAAAAATCTTTAACACCATTAGAAAAATTGAGACAAGATCTCCTCTTTTATTACGATCCTTACGTTCGACCCGTTAAAAATGTAACCACAATCACTAGTGTCGGACTGAAGCTAGGAACAAATATTGTGACTCTGGTAAGTTTTGTCTTGAAAACAATTTTTTACTGTTGGTGTTAATTTTTAGAACGAGTATAAATCCGTTTTACAATACAGCGGAACGATTTCATTGGTAAACTTTTTAAATTAAAATAGCCACAATATTCTACGTTAATTTCAGACCTGGCGCGATGAGAAATTACTTTGGAACACCTCTGAGTATGGAGATATTAACACCCTTCACATTTTTCGTCGGGAAATATGGATCCCAGAATTATTTCTCTTCAAGTGATCTTCCATATTTAAATGTATTCTTTCATATTCAAACACAAATTGCAGTGCGGTTGCTGATCACGGCGAATTGTTAGAAGACACAATGCTAACAGTGAACGCAAGCGGAAACGTCAAATGGGTCACAACAATTAACATCAATTCCTGGTGTAGTCCTGACGATCTTGGCCGATGGCCAAGGGATGAACACCAATGTGATATCGTTTTAGGTTTCTTCAACGAATTCCAGAACCTGCAACTGGTTTTTAATGCAAATGAAAGCACATTTGTATGACATGTCCTTTTGAAGATTTATTAAACATGAAATATTACAGAGTTGTCCGTACTCCTCCAGATGGGCGATCCTAGAAGTTGAAAGTTTCTCAAATAGGGGTTGGCAAAATTCATCAGTCAGGAATTTAAATAACTTTGATCCTCCGGGTCTGACATTACATCTCAAATTGAGACGGACCTCCAACTCTTACACAATTCTTTTGTTTACTCCATTTTGCGGTTAGTTTAAAAGATAATCTCAATGTTTCATTATGTTTCTTCCAGTCGTTGCAGTGTCTTTATTGACAACGTTCTGGGTTTCACCTTTTGGATACCTGAAATTGTCCTTGGCGTGTTTGCCACTGGTTGTATCCTCGGTAGTTTTGCTAACTCTTGGAATTTTAATTCCTACACATTCACAGCAAGTACCAAATCTCGGTGAATTACAATTTCGCGAAATACCCGAAATCTAATCGTTCATGTTTCAGTTTTATTATACAGCTACAGCTTAGTCGCAATCATGCTTTGTACAGTAATTGAAACTTTCGTCATAAATATATCAAGGAATCAGCAAAACAGTGCTGTCCCTCATTTTATGTCAAAAATTTTGCATTCGGTTTTCTTAAAAATGTTTCTCTGTTTGCCAGACATAAAAGTAAGTATTTATGCATTCACTTTTCCCAAAAATAAAATTGTTTTAGTCCTCAAAACAGTATGGAAATTTGAACGATTCGCTAAAAAAGGAAAGTCACCAAACCATGTGGATTTTTTTGGGTATTGTGATAGATCGTGTTGCATTTTTTGTCTACTTAGGTTTAGTAGTTTATGCACTTTGTATTACTTACTAAGTTTTTTTTATTTAAGTTTAGAATAAGTCATTTTGCGAGTTGAGTAAAAATAAACTGTCATTAAGATTGGCAATCATACAATTTATTATACAGGCTTTCAAACGAACATTATGCAGAGCGTAAACACATCAGTCTTACATTTATATAAGCAGTAAATAGCAATATAATATATTTTAGCTTATCGTAAAGATTATACATTCCTATCAACAAAATAATGTTAAAAATACAAACGTACTTGTCGTTTTATACCTTCTTACATTTCATTTATGAAAATATATCGCACACAAAATTTACACTATTTAACTTATTACAGATATTACACGTGAATTGGAAAGCAACAGTAACAGAAAAATCACATTTAATTTCGTAATGTCAAAAAGCAAAAGCTTCCAGACTTTAATTTGATACTGATATGCTTAAAATAGCAAGTTATAGTAAAAATATGCGCGATAAAAAATTTTAATTACCACTTTTAAAAACCTAACTAAGCGTGGAAAAATATTCTGTATAAAACGCTACCTAATGATTCTTTTTTTGGTCTGATTCACACAGATATGTGCATCCGATTTTTTAAATTATAGAAAATGTGCTATCTCGAAAATTAGTGAATCTGTTTTAAAGGGGTTGTAATTTTCAATTTAGCACCAGGAATCTTAATTAATAAACATTTTAAAACTTAGACAGTAACAAATCGATAATAAAATTAAAAATACACTGAAGAACAAACTATAAAATTATCAATAGTGGTCTATTTTGACTGTTCATCCTTAACTATTCTCCTATACAATTATAAAATTAACACAGCTCAGATTAAATGGTAGATTAATTTGAGATCTGTCCTAAATAACATAGAAATTAACGTTGCAATTTGACCAAACACAAAGGCTAAAATTTTGACACAAAGTAATTGTTCAACGCAATACTTAATTGATTCAACTTGAATTTTCCTTCCCCTTGGAATCTGGAAGAAATGTTCAATCACACAAGTGGTTTGATAAAGTTAAACAATAAGAAAAGTATAAAATAAATAAAAATTACCTGTTGTGTAAAAATTTTGTACTATTGTGATATCTTTATTTACCGGAATCTCCAGCTGAATCTCCATTAGTCAGCTGTTCCTCCTTTTTCTCTTCTTTCTTTTCCTCTTCCTTCTTTTCTTCTGAATCTTTTTTCTCTTCAGAAGATTGTTTCTTCTTATCTTCCTTATTCTTGCCCTTTGCTGGGGTAGCCGGTTTTGGTTTAGGCTCTAAACTCGGATCTAAGATAAGTTTGCCGACATTTTTCCGGTCGTGCATTTTTTGCATAGCCTCTGCCACATCTTCAAGAGCCCAGGTTGAGTCAACCAAAGGTTTAATCTTCTTCTGTTGAAAGAGTGAAAAGACTTCTTGCACTGCCTTGTGGATGAACTCGTGTCCACCCTGTTGAAACATAAGCCGCCGCAGATTGAAACCGGAGATTGTTCGGTTCTCGTCAAAAAGCTTCAGAGGAGAAATTTTATCAACTTGCCACCACTAGAACATCCAAAATCAATTAGTACAAAGAAAAACAAATGTGTGTTTATACTCACAGAGCGGGCAGCGCTGAAAAAGCTCTTAGTCTCTCCCGTCACAACATTCGAAGAGCCGTAAAGAATGTACTTGCCCATTGGCTTCAGCAAGCTGTATCCTTTGTTGCATTCTTCTCCACAAAGACAGTCCAATACGATATCGATGCCATCGGGGGACACTTTGCGAATTTCGCTTACGTAGTCGCTGCCACGTTCCAGCAAATGATCGATGGGAGAATTTGCATTTTTTAAGGCTTCGTGCTTGCCCTTGGAGCAAATTCCGAAGATGGTAACATCAGGGACAGTTTTTGCGAGTTGCACCACGGCTTGGCCCTGAAGCAACGAAATAAACTCGTTGACTAAACGTAATAAACGAAGACGCGAGTAAATTCAATTACGGATGTATGAGATTAAATTGGAAAAATAACGTCATAAGAAAGCGGCCGTTTTTTCTTGCTTTCGGGATTAATTTCTTGCCACTTGAGAATAACGAGTGGTTAGAATTTCTCGGTCGAGACGTCGATAGGGCGGGTGTTTCCTTTCAAATCAAATTAAATGTTATTTCGCGCAATCTCGGTTGCATTTTACTCGTTTATGTAATTTAAATTGAATTAACAACTTGATTCAAGGAAGATGCACACTGCTCTAGACTGGCAGAAATTAATAACTAACAGAACACTAAAACTAAGGGTAAACACAAGCGAAACTTCTAACACGAGACATATAACTGCAATCACCTCTCTATCTGAAAAAACGACAGTGTACACATCGATATCTGTTCACACAATCTATTTGGCTTCAGGAAGTGTTATGATATGACGTCTAGCACCCAGTTAAAATACAACAAAAGAAACTGGACATCAGTGTTTCTGTAAAAGTCCTTTCCAAACAAAAATTTTATTCCGTATAAATGTTCAGAAGCACTTGGTAAAATGTATATATCCTTGTCATAGATTATAGCAAACTGTTTAACATCACTAAAATCATGAAGGCATTATTAAAATCTATCAATAACACTAAACACCTTGACATATCGAGACAATAATAGTCCGATACAAATTATGATAATACATCTCATTAATCAACCTGACGTTTCCTTTCTGCTATCTCCCATTTGCAGTCCATAACAATAAATCGCCTTAAAACCAATACAAACTCCGAGAGAAGTTTTAAAGTTAAATCTATTGAAAGCAATCGACAGTAATCATCCAAGTTGCACAGGACTCGGATAGTTTTCCTCGTTCGCCTTTTATTTAATAAAAAAAAAGTAATCGTTTGAAATCTACTGAAACGATGAGTCGAGTAAAACCACTTCTGGCGAATTGGATCAAGAAAAATGAATTCCGGATGTGGAATATTAAAATAATGAAGACTCTTCGCGAATGTGTGTTGAGTGAGTTAGACAGTCTGTGAAACGTGAGCGGAAATTTAAAGCATCGTCGCATAGACCCCTTTTCGGACCCGCCACGAGGAACGACGCTGTTTTATTGCTGCGTGTGGTGGCGATCAATACCTGCGTCGTCTAGTCGCGTCGGGATCGTTTGCCTATAGTAACACCCATTCCAAATTGCCACCACACGGCTGTCGGTCACGTTTATAATCTTAACGTCGACGCCACCGCCGGAAATTCCTCTTTTTGTGCCGATTGGACAGGGATTTAACACACAAAAAAGGGAGATTAGTCGGAGAAGGGTCGACGACCCGAGTCTGGAAGGGAAACTTTCACGTGCAGACCTGACCTTACACGGAAAGGGAACTTCCAACGTGTTGCGACGACGTTAAGGGAGTTACGACAAGATCAACATCAAAAAGGGAATTGACAAAATACCCTAATTCTATTACCCCCAAATGCCCATTTAGTTTCAAAACAGGTGACGCGAAAGGAATGGCCCAATATAAAAAAAAGAGTTTCAAGCGCAGCAGACAGAGCTGCAAGGCAAAGCCGAGTGCCTAGATGTATAGTTTCTATTTTTGTTTTGTTTTGCATTTGAACGACAGGGAAAAGAATAAGTGATAATAGACTGATAATAATAAACAACGTTTAGGTTCTGTATTTTATTTAGATTATTTCAATAAAATTGGCAAGCTTAGGTGATTACAGTGATTGAGTAAATGAAAAGACAAGAATACTATTAGAACTACCAAAAAATCTTTCAAGAATGTATAAAATAGAAACCCCAAAATAATGCTCCAAAAAAGTAGGCTAAGCCAATTAAGTCTTAATTAAATTATAGAAGAAATTTCATAAAAAATAAAACTCAGTTTAAGCGCACTTAAGCTATGACTTCTTTATGTTATATAATTAAGAAACAAAAGGTACTAAATATTTACAATTTCTGTATTGTAAGTTCTCTCTCCCAGCACAGTTACTAAAAATTGGGAAATGGCAAACTATTTGAGTTGTAAAAAATTACGATGTTGCATTTTTTTTTTATAGAAATTCCAATAAAATGAATATGGGTACCTCTCAAAAAGTCAAATAATCTAATGTAACTTAATAAAATTATAAAAAAATAGTTCACATGTGTTAAAGTAAAATTATTTATCCTGAAATATGATGACAGTTATGGCATGTGTTTAGCAATAATTATGTTTACAAGGATTTTCGCCAAGTCAGTAATGCCTGAG